TGGCCGGTTCACTCACTGGCTGAGCGTGGTGCTGACAACACCAAGTCAAGGGTTAAGTTCCCCTTACCGGTCATCTTTTAAAAAAAAAAAAGAAAAATCTTTGTAATATATAATTTAAGCTATTCATATGATTTTCAGTATCTAAGAAGAGAAATGTTATGAATGTAAATGAAAAGTCTGTTCCCTTTATAAACTGAGTCATAAATATGTTGGGTCCTTTCCCTTAGTGGTAAAAGGAAACTTGGACAGAATTCCCTTAGGAAAGACCACATGGACAATAAATGAACAATCTTTCTGTGACAAAAGGTGAAATACCACAATTCTATGTATGGAAACATCTTTTGCATTATCTCAACTTTAAAAATCACTTTTTCTAAAACATCCGGGTAAAATATCATGCAAAAATTGCCATCATGGGAAGGAAAACCAGGAAGAAAGAGACCATCTTTCATGAAGGCAGTTCTGCAATAATAGAATGCTATTTGATACAAATGCTGTTCAATAACAGTTCATGGTGCTCAGATAAATTCTTATTGATTACTACATAATACATTCATTTTGTTAAAAATTAAATCTTGAATAGAAATTCATAGATTTTTTGGGGGGGGGATATTTTAAACAGAAAACATAAACAACTAAATAAAACACTGATAGGTTGGGATGATACATTATCTAATTGTATGTACCTATATCCAAAACCAGAAAACATTAAGGATTCTTTCCAGGAAAATTCATAAGATAGTTCATAGTCAAAAATATAATAATTTTAGGTAAGCAAGTATTCATTTTCTTAGCTTTCCTTGGGGAACAAAAACCTATGAAAAAGTTATCTTGGGGATAGAAAAATATGCCTTTTGATAATTAGGGGAAAGGACTACAAAGCATCCATGTGAGAAATGCACATAATAGAAAGTGTGATATCAAGGCAGGCTCACTAACCTGCAGAGTGTCACAGGCCTCAGACACCATGTCAGGACATCATGGAGCCTTAGAAACCATTCAGCAACCCCCAACCCCACAGTCCACAGGTGAGGCAATGGACATTCAGGGAGGTTCATTCCTCTGGTCCTCCTGCTTTGTGGAATAACCTGTGTTAATACACTGCTGGTTGAGACCTGTCCTGCCAGAGCATGCTGAGAGCAGGGAAGGAGGCAGAAATCACAGTTACATGGAATTTATAATTGCTATTTCCCTCAAATACTTTCTTAATGTATTGTACTTACAGAAATATCCCTCCTGATTAAGCTCAAAATAGAGTATTGTAAAATTACATAATCGATAAAGTAGGGGTTCATTCATTTCGTATACTTGATTCCTTGAACTTTCAGACTGGAGTTGGAAGGTCACCGGTATTTTATCTTGTTTTGATTTGAGGGCAACTGCAGCTCAGATTGTATCCATTACTGACCACACTGCTAAGCAGGGCAGCAAAGTTGAAAAATGATACAGAAGTTGAAAAAGAGACCAAGCAAACTCTAACAAATTTCAATATAAAGGATTGAAAAGGATCATCTGTTTTCTATGACAGAATAAGAGCTTTTTTCAGTATATTTTCAAAAAAAGTTACCTTTGGCTACTGAGAAATTATCAAATATTTGGCCATTAATTTGTATAACTGACAATTATTATCACTTATTAAAATAATTGATTCAAATGGAGGGATAGGAGACAATGAATGGCCAAGTGAATCGAGGCAAGAATTTCCAAAGTTCAACACGTTATACATTACTCATGGAAGATCACATTAAAACCCTTAAGCTAAATTTCAATACACTGGCAAAACTCCAATACATTTTGACAAAGGTTCTTTAATTCTTTAGTCCTATAAAAAGAATGAAGAGACTAGAATGTTCTGTGTATGTGAAGATACTATAATGGCAGAGAGTAATACTGCACCCCAGCCTTGTTAGATATCAAATATTCAAACCAGAATGCAGTGCGATAGATGATCATGATAATAAGTGGTAGAAGCTAACTGTACTGAGTGCTTACTGTGTGCCAGGCACTGTTCTAAATGCATCACACATATTCATCTAATCTTCAAAACAACCCAACAATTATACCCATTTTACAGAAGTTAGAAAGGCAGTTTGCACAGTGTGTGTTTGCTTTTTGGCAGCTGGCTGGTACAGGAATCCGAACCTGTGACCTCGGTGTTATCAGCACCATGCTCTAACCAACTGAGCTAACTGGCCAGCCCCTATTAAAAGCAAAGACAACAAAGCCAGACTGCCTTATTTTGAAAGCTGTCTCCTCTGCTGACCAGATCATCTGTAAAGTGGTGGAAATTATATCATCTACCTCCTTGGGTTTGTTGTGAGGTTTAAATACGTTAATAAAAATAAGGAGCTTAGAAGAGTGTCTAGTATGTATGAAGTGCTTCCAGAGTCTAAACTCTCAGTGTTATTACAGAAAAGGAATATAGGCACAGGAGAACTGAGTTAAATTGCCTAAGGCTGCTGTGGCAGAGCCAGGAAAAGAACCCAGGCAGTCTGTCTCTGGAGGCAGCGCTCTTAAACCTCATGCTGCCTGACATTTACTAAACCTCCTCCACGTGCCAGGATTGCTGGCATTTTTTTATATCGCTTCATTTCAACCTCATGACAATCTTACAATATCTCCATTTACAAAGATGAAAACCACGCGTGCTAGGTAATGCCCAGCACAGAGGCAACACAATGGTGACTAAGGCTTGGGAACCCTACGGAAACATACAGGTTTTGAGCCTCTGAGGAACTTGCCCAAAGGTACCATCTACCAGGAAGAAGGGCTGGGAGGCAAACCCAAATCCACATGCTGTCTTCATTCGGCCCACATGTCACAGCATTAAAACAGGGAGTTTCATACATAAAAAAGATATTTTTAGTGAGAGAAGGAAAAAAGACACCAAAAGATAAGGGGAAATTAGAGTTCTCTGGTAGGTGGGAAACCTGTGTACAACAGGGCCCAGTCTCTCTGGTTAGTGACCGTCTTGACCCTTCATATACCAAAGTTCTCAACAGCCAAGGGGCATTTTCCCCACAATACCACATTTCATCAGATATGGGGAAGAAGGCATGAGAAACCAATTTCCACTTTATTTGCTTAAAATGTAGTCTACAGTGAAGACCACAGTAATTTGAAATACTTACCATGGAGCCTGCCATATGGTGCTCAAGCAATTATATATATATATGCACACACACAATCAAATAAATAAATTGTGTGTGTAAATTACACACATACGCACATTCATTTCTAATTCTGCCTAGGTATCTGATGGAGAAATTCCGAAAGTTTTCTTCAAGCTCCCCTCACATGATATGAACTACAGATTCTACCCAGAGCATTTGTACAGATGGAACTGCAGAATCAAGCCAATGAAACTGGTGGTTCTACCGTGATAGCAGATCAAGTTTTCTCAGACACATCAGAGGAGGTGACAGCTGCCTTCCTTCCTATTCACCACCCTAGGCCTATGACACTCATAATTATGCCTCCCACCAAACTTAACTGTCAACTTTCAAACCTAAACAGAATCTGTTCCTGATCTATTTACCAATTCACTGCTTTCATGATTTCATTCCTGTTTATGTCCTGTAAATGTATGAACACATACAGAAATGAAATCATAAAATTATGTCACCGTTACTGAGTAAAATCACAAAGTCATGAAGAGCAAGGTCTGAGCATCCTTTTGAGAAATAAAATTGCATTCCAACAGATTTTTGCTCATAAAGTAAGTTCAAAATAAAGACTAATAGTTTAAATCTGGAAATACTTATGTCACTAGTAATTTAATGAATTAAGAAATCTTCAAGAAAGTAGTAAATACAGTGAGTTGGGGAATCCCTGTGCAAGTCTGCTTGGAAATCTGAAGTGTAATTTCAGTATCAACTTGGAGATTGCAGCATTTTTAATATCCCGTAGAAAAACAATATGAACTTATTAAAACATTACAACTTGTGCAATCTTGATGAAAAAGTTAATGTGGTTATTCTGACCAGAATCAACAGACTTAGAACCTTAAATGTGAAGTGCCCTGGGTCAGCCAGGTTAAGAGTCTTTAAAATGATCCACTTTTATATGAAGTTAACAGTGAGAGAACGAGGGTGTCCAAAGTTTTTATTACACAAAAGTACCTGGCAGTGAGTTACTACCAAAAGCATATCCATGCCTTGATGTACATAGTGGGGGCTGGCAGAGACTCTGGCAGGTGAGGCGTCGCACTCCCTGCCTGGCCATGCCCGGGCTGCTGGTGCTGTCAGTAGCTGTTCTCCTGTGCCTCTCAGGGAACGGTCTGCCCTGAGGGCAGCCTCTCCTTCTGGATCTTCACTCACTTCCTTGCTTTCTCCGTGGAGTGGAGTGTCTCTCTGCCTGTCCCTCCTCATGAACCAAATTATAAATATGACTAGCAATTTAGGGCCCTTTTGGTGAAACACTTTTATATCAAAACTAAGTACGTTATTCTAGTAATATGACTATTTATAGAACACAAAAGGTAAAACCTGTGTCACTTGCAAACACCTGCACTATCTCACTGCTTTCAACCGAGAAGAATACAAAGATGGGCTATCACAGAATTAATCATACCTGAGAATCTGGAACGCCATCAGTTTCTGTTATAGTT